GGGGGGGGGGGGGTCGAATGGGTTAGAGCTTGTGACAGAGTGGGGCGTAGTTGGCTGGCCCGCCCGTCGCCCCGTCGCCCGTCGCCCGTCGCCCGTCGCCCACAGCTGACCGCCGACCGCCGACGAGGAGCGGAGCTAGGCAGACGGCGACACAGCCACAGCCAGCGCCAGCGCCAGCGCCACAGCCAAAGCCACACTTCTCGCCGCCCCACCCCTCACACCCTACACCCCACACACCCCACACACCACACACACACACACACCACACACACACACGCATTCATGGCCATGGCGTCGCGGTCGATGGAGCTGGAGCTGGCACCGCTGGTGGCGCCGCGCGGCCCGTCGACGGTGCCCTCAGCAGGCGGCTCGGCCGCATTGTCGCCGCTGGGGGGTAACTTGCCAATGTCGGCCACGGCTCTGCCGCCTGCGCAGCCGGCACTGGCGGCTGAGTCGACGGAGACCTTGCTCGCGGCCCGGGCGGACTTGGCCGACCTGGCCGCGTCTGCCACCGCCATCCGCTCGGCGGCCTCGACCGTGGTCGAGCTACTGGCCATGCCGACGCAAGACACCGGGCAAGCTTCTGTAGCCACCAAGGCGGGCGAGGATGGCGAGGATGGCGCCGCAGTCGGTGGCTCTGGGCGTTTGCAGAGTGGACAGATTGCGGCGCGGCGGCCTGCGGCGCTTCGCAAGGCGCACGACGCACTTGTCGACGCTCTCGGAAGGCTGCGCAGCTTGCGGAACGCGGTTGCGGCGCTGCCGCTGGCGCTGACACCCGCAGCAGCGGCGTCGGCTCTCGATGCTGCGCCGCCAGCGCTTGACGCGCTACTCGCAGACATGGTGACGGCGGCGTCGGCGGCGTCGCGGGCAAGATCGCGCGCCGCTGCCGTCGGCTACACTGACGCCGCGCGCAAGCTCTTCCCGGGCCTGCTCGAGCCCAAGACATCCCGCAAGCGACCGCGGGTCTACGCCATCACGCCGGCGTCGCACCCGTCGAAGCGGCGCAAGCCCCTCGGCTCCGGCTCGCCTTCGCGGTCGGGCCTCCCGGCCAAGCTGGTGGGGGTCATGGCATCGGCAGCGCCCTCGTTCCGCATTGTCAGCTGGAAATATCATCCGCTGGAGCTCTCGTCGCGACTGGCGCGGCTGACGCTCGAGCTGCCACATGTCTTCCAGGTTTGCATCACCTTTTCCGGCGCTGTCGGCCTTGCCGAGTCGGACACCCTCATTCCTGCGCTGATCTCGCTCAGCCGCCCGCGCCACGCCCCGCCGCTTGCACCTGGCGCGTGCGATCCGGTCCTCGACGCCATCGAGGTCCACGTCCGCGCCGCCCACCTCTACTTTGTCTCGGCCTACCCCGCTGCGCCGCTCCCACCGCTCCTTGTCTGGCTCCACTCGTACGCGCGGCTCTACTCCACGCCCTGCACCGTGTGCGGCGCTCTGGTCCGCATCGCCCGCGGCGATGCCGGGGGGCCCATGCCGCCGGTCTTCCGTCCCTTCCGCGTCGATCGCGCCCGCCAAGGCCGCCTCCTCGCCCCGCGCCTCCTCACCGTCGCCACCACCGGCTCGCCGATCGATCCGCGCCTCGCCCTGGCCGAGGGCGCCTACCACAACGAGTGCTTCACCCGCGAGACCCTCATCCGCCAGCAGGAGCAGCAGCCATCAACCTTGGCCACTACCTCGGCCTCGCCCCCGCCTACCCCGCAGTAGCGAACCGCGTTGCCGTCGTGGTAGCATCGATTCATTTGCCCGCCGCTGCCCCAACAAGAGCAAACGAGCCAAACGGTCAACTGCCTCGCTCCACGCCACCACTCGACTCACACCGCAAACCATGCCGCTGTTTGAGCCTGTTTCCGATGCCCTCATTGCTGGTGTCCGCACCGCAGGCGACTTTCTCACCGATGCCGGCGTCACTGCCGTTGTCGACAACTGGGAGGTACGTAGCCCACAAGTGCACAAGACTGCCATGCCTAGCCCCAGCCCCTCTTCCCCCCCCCCCCCCCCCCCCCCGCAACCCTGCCTGCGTTTTCCTCGCCATCCACACACGCAGGTCGCATGGTGGCACCCGGCGCTCCCTCGCCTCCTCCCTCCCCTCTAAGCGCGTGGAGGGTGGTGGAGGGAGAGGAGGAGTGAAGGGTCGCTTGCTGCAGTAGAAGGGCGTGTCGGGAGGCAGTGACTTGGGCGAGTGCAGGGTGGAGAGGCCGGTGGTGGGGCCAGGTGGTGGCAGACGGTGACTGACGCGGGATGGGCGCGCGTGTTTCGACGGTGGGTGTGTGGGGGGGTGGACAGACGTCGTTCAAGGGCCTGCTGACGGACAACGCGCCGCAGGCGATGGATTTCATCAACTGGATCTTCTCGTCGAAGCACCACTACGTGGAGGAGCTCGACCTGCCGTTCCTCAACTGGTTCCGGGTTATCCTTGTCCTCATGGCCTACGTCGTGGTCATCAAGGTTGGCCAGGTCATCATGTCGCAGTTCCAGCCGTTCAAGCTTTACACCTTCTCCATCATCCACAACACGGCGATGGTTCTCATCTCGGCATACATGTGCATTGAGACTGTGTACCAGGCGGTCTCGCTCAAGTACGGCCTGTTCGGTAACTACGCGCTCGACTCGTCCGCCGAGCACGGCATGGCCAAGATCGTCTGGGTCTTCTACATGTCCAAGTTCCCGGAGATGCTCGACACGGTCATCATGGTGCTGAAGAAGAACAACCGCCAGGTCTCGTTCCTCCACATGTACCACCACTTCAGCATTGCGCTCGTCTGGTGCATCGTGACCTTCTCCTACCCGGCTGGCGAGGCGTACTTCTCCATCATCCTCAACTCGTTTGTCCACGTCGTCATGTACTCGTACTACCTTGCTCGTGTTTTCAAGATCGAAGTCCCGTGGAAGTTCTACATTACCAAGTTCCAGATGCTCCAGTTTATGGCCAACATGGTCCAGGGCATCTACGATGTCTACATCCTCAAGATGGATCCGGTCCGCGGCCCGACCTGGCTCCTTCAGCTCCTTGCCATCTACATGGTTTCGCTCCTTGTTCTCTTCGGCAACTACCTGCGCGTCAACGCCGGCAAGGCCAAGAAGGCCAAGAAGGCCAAGTCCGCTTAATGTGCTTCGATGCGGCGACTCGCTTCTCTTTCTTCCCCTCCATCCCCCCTCCCCGCCCCGTCACAAACCTTTCCAAGCAAACGCATGTCAAGTGCCGCACGAGGCCATTGTTTGTTGTTCGCCTACACGACGCCAGCGCACGGCGCGTCGGAGTGCATCGCCCACTGCCAGTCAGCATTGCACCCAATCCACGTGCAGTAGACCGAGGTGCCGACAACGACGTGCATGATGGCGTGCGAGTTGAAATAGTAGTCGGTGAACGAGCGCCGGATCCACGATGGGAGGATGCGCTCGGGCATGCGGGTCGCGTTGATTGTTCCGCCCACTACCTGCAGCACAATGGCGAGGATGTGCAGCTGCCGCGCCTCGGCCGAGCCGGCCGAGAGATACAGCGAGAAGACAGTCGAGAGGTTGGCAGCAACCATGAGCGCGCCAAAGATGGCAACCCGCATCTTGGGGGAGGCCAGCAGAGCGCCGGTCACCGCCGTGACCAGCACGCCGGCGGCAAAGACGAGCGTGACAATGAGGCACAGGTTGCGGAGGCGCGGGTAGCAGTGGAGGGCGTAGAAAACCCGCCGGATCGACGACGCCACGTACGCGTACAGGATACCCCACAAGTCGTAAGAGAGCCACGCCTTGTACGACGTCAGCGAGCACTCGCCGTGGCACTGGAACAGATGGTACGAGACCGAGAAGAAGAAGCAGATCAGCGCCGACGACGTCTGGCACGTCCACAGCAGATACTCGATGGGATCCACAAACCCAAACGAGGTCCACCCCTGGATGAAGAGTACGAGGAAGAAGACAAAGCCACCACCGTGCGTCCACACGTTCATCGACTCGTTGTGCAGATGCCAAAACGAGGCCAGCGCCTGCGCTGTGCTCAGATGCGCACGGTACCCAGTCTCCACAAACTTGTTGTACTGCAGCACCGCAGGCGCCTCACCATACTCCACAAGCTCGTACGTCGGCGACACAATCTCAGACACAACATGGCCCACTGGCGGCGGCGGGAACAGCTGGAACTTGCCCGCAACAACCTTCTCCTTCTCCGCAGTCCCAGCCTCCCGCGCCGCAGCCCCAGCCCGCTGCCCATCCACACCGCCGCCGCTGCCACCGGCCAAGCCGGCTCCTGCGGCCCCTGAGCTCTCCTCACCCTTCCTACTCCTGCTCCGCGTTCGAGGCGCCATCGTTGTCGTGCCCAGAGCAAGACAAGTACTCAAAGCGCGCGCTCTCTACGCACGATCCGCTCCCCCTCCCCTCCCCACATCGTGCCACGTCGCCTCAGCCCGCCAAGAGTCGGCCGCCGCTTGCCGACCGCTGCCATCGGACGGCCCGGCCCAAACCGGTCCACCTCGGCCCGCACCAAGCCCCGCACCTGTCCGGACAGGCACGACAGCAACCATGCCGCCCTCCCTCGGTACAAGTCACACACACCCTACACACACACACATGCACACCTACCCGCTCTCGACTCAACCTCTCCCCGCCCTTCTCCGCCTCTGCCATTCTCCTACACAGCGCATCCGACCCCGCGGCGTGTGGCACGGAGGGGAAACCAGCAAAGGAAGGTAAAGATGACGGCGAATCATCAAAAAGGCCGCCGGTCTTCCCGGTTTGCGCCGCCTCTTGAGCGACCCGAGACACAGACAGCAGAGTACCTGCCAGCCGCTACCCCAGACGTACCGGTCATCGACATCCACCACCCAACTCCGGTCCCACACTTTGACTACCCTACTCAATCAACATGAGCACCTCTATGGCACCTGCGAGTGAGCTCATCGCCAACTCGAGCTACGACGCCGCGGCGGTGGCGACCGTGGCGAGCAACAAGCCGTTCTGGCAGCAGACCATGCTCCGGGTCTCGGACCCTGTGGCCTCGATCGAGCACTACACCACCCACTACGGCTTTACCCTTGTCGACAAGTACGACTTTCCGCAGTGGAGCTTCACCGTCTACTTTCTGGCCACCCTCGAGGAAGGCCAGGCCGGGCCCGATGGCGAGCCCGGCTCGGACGCTGCCCACTCGTGGCTCTTCTCCACCAACGTCACCACCCTTGAGCTGACGCACAACCACGGATCAGAGGAAAACGGCCCGCAGCCGGGCCTCTACCACTCGGGAAACATTGAGCCGAACCGCGGCTTTGGCCACATTGCCGTCTTTGTCGACGATGTCTACGCAAAGTGCGCCGAGCTCGAGGCCGCCGGCGTCCAGTTCCAGAAGAAGCCCGACGGCGGGCGGATGAAGGGTCTCGCCTTTGCCCTCGATCCGGACGGCTACTGGATCGAGATCATCAAGCGCGCCGAGGACGCCCCGTCGGCCGGCAAGGGTCTCGTCAACCTCTCGCAGACCATGATCCGCGTCAAGGACCCGGCAGCTTCGCTCGCCTTCTATGGCCATGTCTTTGGCATGCAGCTCATCGCCGAGAAGCACTTTCCTGACGCGGCTTTCTCGCTCTACTTTCTGGCCCACCTCTCCGACGCCGAACTCGCCCGCCTCCCCGCCGATCTCGATCCGTCGTCCCAGGCCGCGTTTGACTTTATGAAGACCCTCTGGTCGCCCGTCCTCGAGCTGACCTGGAACCACGGGACCGAGTCGGACGCCGACTTTACCTACCAGCCCGGCGACGCCTCAAAGTACGCCTTTGGCCACACTGGCTTTATCGTCGACGACCTTGTTGCTACCTGTGATGCCCTCGACGCCGCCGGCGTGCCCTTTGCCAAGCGTCCCCAAGACGGCCAGATGAAGACCATCGCTTTCGTCGTCGATCCCGACGGCTACAAGGTTGAGCTCATCCAGCGCGGCTCCATCGCCGAGTGATTCTGCCAACGAACCTGCTTTGCACAGCCATCGTATAAACTCACACAACCGCGCCTGTCGGCCACGCCCGCGCGCCAGCCGACACCTCACCACTCACGTTCACAAGCAGCCACACACACACTTTCTCACACACACGCATACACTCAGCATGGCATCTCGCCGCCTCCGCTCCTACGCCGAGCTCAACCCGTGCGTCGGCCTCGGCGTACGCTCCATCCCTATGCCCACCCCCTCCCCCACCCGCCCCCCCTTCCCCCACCCCTCCACTCACCCCCTCCACAGGCGCTGGCATTAGCATCATCGGGTGTATGCTCGCTACAAGGCATGCCGCCGCTGCCCGATCTCAAGCACCTGTACCTCTCCGACAACGCGCTGACCTCGCTCGCCGGTCTCGGTGTCCAGCCGGTGCTGGAGGAGTTGGACGTCTCAGGCAACGAGCTGACGTCGCTAGCCGGCGCCCGCCCGCAGCCGCGGCTCAAGTCGGTCCTGCTGGCTCGCAACCCCATCGCTTCCCATGTCCACTTCCGGACCATGACTCTGCTGGCCTTTGGCTGGCAGCTGCGGTCCATCGATGGCATCCCGGTGACGGCCGCAGAGCGCCGCGCCGCAAAGGGCCTGGCCGCGCCTGCGCCGGGCCTGCTTGTCGACCTCATCTCTGCCGGCTGGCTCCTCGATCTCAAGCCACGGACCAAGGCCGAGATGCGCGCTCTTCTCGACGATATTCTCTCCGGACGGTCCCAAGACGAGGTTCCGGTCCCGATCCTGCCTCTCGAAGCTGCACTGGTGCACTCGGTCGCAGGATCGCTCGTCGCCCGTCCGCCGTCGGCCGATCCCATCCCCTACTCGTGGTCTGGCCCCGGCTACCATATTCCCATCGACAACGGCATGTTTTTGGACCTCTCCCTCGGCCCACCGCCGCCCACATCATCCTCCCGCACCCCCGATGAGCAGTAAACCGCCCGTCCCACCCCGTGCATGATGACACCCTCGCTCGTGCCACTCGACCAACTCGCACGTGTCGCGCACCACTCCAACCACCCCACTCTCCACACACCACACACCCAGACAGAGGGCCATGGAGGCCCTAGTCAAGCGCGCACTGCGCTCACGGCTAGAGGCATACATTGTTGACTACTCCTCCGACCGCATGGTCAACTGGGAGATCCGTGACGTCCGTACGGCCGCCCTTCCTTCCCCTCTCCTGCTTCGCCTCTGATCATGCTTGCGGCTCCACTCACACACGGGCACACTTTTGTAGAGCTCAAGCCTGATGCTGTTGCTGCCCTCCTCAACCTACCTCCGCAGCTAGCCATTGCCAATGCTGCTTCATCGGCCATCAAAGTCATCGTGCCGTGGAAGCGTCTCAAGACTGACCCAGTCGTCTTTGACCTCGGCCACGTCCGCATCGATCTGCGCGAAGCTGCTGTGCCGATACTGCCATCGAGTAGCACAGGCGAGGACGTCCGCGATGATGACAAGACAAAGAAGAAGAAGAAGAAGAAGAAAAAGGAAAGAGAGAAAGATAAGAGCAAGGGCAAGGGTAAGCGCGGCTTTATCAACAAGGTCATTGACGGCATCTCCTTCCGCCTTGCCACAGGCCTCATCACGCTCGCCACCAGCGGCGCTCCCAACATGTTTGCTCTCTCGCTGGAAGACGTAGTGCTTGCGTCGACGAACCCAGACTTTGAAGTCGTGGATCTCCGCGAGTCGCGCAAGGTGAACAAGAACTCGTCGGTCGTGCTCTTGTACAAGGCCCTCAACGCCGCTGCCGTCACCCTCGATCTGGTCCCCACCTGCGTGCCGAAAGCAGAGCTTGCTCCCCCAATTGTCCGCCTCCTCGACAACATCCCGCTCGCCATCCACTTTACCGGCAAGTTTGCCGATGCCCGTGACAATCTCCCAGTCAAGGCGCATCTCGCCTTTCTCATCGACTCCCGCCGCGTCGTCGTTGCCGTCAACCAGAGCCATCTCCTGGACATCGCCCACACTGTTGTTGGCATCCAAGATGCGCTCGCTGCCGCTCCTACGCTGCCTCCCGCCAAGACTCCCGAGTCGGAGCGAGCTCCCGCCCAGGCGCCGCCTGCCATCCCACCGCGATCCCGCCCGCCCCGCAGCCTCCCGCCACCGCCGGCGTCCGCATTTTCCACATCTCCCGAGGTCGAGGAAGCAGGCAAGGGCAAGGGCAAGGGCAAGGGATGGGGCTCGCGCCTTCGCCGGATTGTCAACCGCAAAAAGGCTCACGGCCCAGCGTCACTCACCGAGCCGGCTTCCGATTCAACGTCGGCACCAGCGTTCGACCCACTCACCCAAGAGGCGCTTGCCCAGCTCACTGCGCCGTCAGAGCCTCGCGAGATCGACGATGTCTCGTCGATTGCCTCGGACTCATCGGGCTCCTCAATGGCCTCGCTTGCGTCCATGACCTCGCAGTCGGCCGCTGCAACGCCGTCAGCTGCCGAGCTCTCGCTCACCGGCGACGCAGACCTGGAGATCGAGTTTACTCCTGCCGAAGACATTCAGCACAACCTCATCTCGCTTCAAGTCGACTCGCTGGTGGTCCAGCTGCTCGAGCCAGAGTCGCCGGCAGCCGCGTTTTTCGAGGCCGTCTTTGTCAATCCCACCATCTCGTTCATCCCCAATCTCCCGCTCCCATCCGAGCTTCTCAGCCGGCTCGCCCTCGATCCCGAGTCAGTGGCGGCGGCGGCCGACGGCATGCAAAATCTCAAGTTTACTCAGTCTGAGCTGCAGGTCTCGATGCAGTCGCTTGTCTGCCGCGAGCTCAATGCGCCTCCGACCAAGCATCCCAGCTACACCACCGCCCTCTCGCCCACAAGCCAGGTTGCCTCGTCGGCGTCGGCGGCTGAACTCGCCGCACAACACCCGGGCACCCGCGGAGGGCCGCCGTTGCTCAAGCTCAAGTACGTCATCCGCCACATCCCGCGCCATCTCAAACTCGACACTCGCGCCGAGTCGGATGTCGTCTTTGGCCGCGAGCTCACTGGGCGCATCCTCGCCTTTGATGCCGTCTACGACCGCGAGCTCCTGCGTCGAGTCGCAAGCACGGTAACTCCGGCGTCGCAGGTCCTCTCTGCCCTTGTCCCTGCCGAGCGCCTTGCCCAGCGCGTCGACTCGCTCGTCGAGTCGGTTCTCTACGACGACATGCTCTGCACCTTTGAGCTCCGCTCGCCGTCGATCGCCCTCCCGCCGTACAACGGTTACGTCGGCCCGATGGTGCTCTCGGCTCAGGCCTGGCGACTCTCTGCCGACAACATTGTCCTGGCTACTGTCGCGCCATCAGTGCCGCCACCTTCGGTGTTTGGCTCGAACCCACTGTTTGTCGCGCCCGCGGGTGTCTTTCCGGTCGCAGACACCGACATCACCTCGACCTTTGCCCTCGCACATGCCCTCGACACCCTCCCGCCGCAGCACGTCCAGCGATTCCAGCTTCAGTGCAAAAACGTCGCTCTCGCCGTCACCGATGTCCGCCACCCTAGCGCCGTCGAGCCGTGGCTTGCCCTCCCGCCGCTCAACGTCGTTGTCGACCTCGCCTTCCACGAGTGGTTCGTTGGCGACGATGAGAGCCGCACCGACCTGCCGCAGCTGGAGCTGTGGCTCTCGCTCTCGGATGTGGCACTGAGCCTCACCCAGCATCACTACGCCTACCTACAGTCGGTCATGGAGCAACGCATTCTGTTTCACACCCGCGTCGAGTCGTCTGCCTTTGCCGGGCGCCTCCGCTATCTGTGGCGGACCTTTGCTGAGGCGCCGCCGCAGTCCGACTCCACCACTCATACTCTCCTGCTCGACACCCTTGATCTTGACGAGGACATCTTCACCGACATTCCGATGGTCTCCCTCCTCTCGACTCACTGCGAGTCGGCGGCGATCTCGCTCCTCCATGACGAGCCCGGCATGCCGCCAGTCACCCTCGCGGTCTTTTCGGCTGCAGGCTGCCAGGTCGTCGCCGAAACGCACATCGCCATGCTGGTCCTCAAGGCTCAGGTTGAGACCTTTGACGTCCACTCACCTAAGCACTCGGCCTCACCGTTTGCCTCTCTAGTCACGCCGATGGCATCGGCGGCGCCGGTCTTCGGCCTGCCTGCACACGTCAGCACCTCCAGCGGAAGACAGCAGGCCAACTTGGTGGTCAGACTCGAGCACCTGCGAGTCAACATGCCGCCGGCGCTCCAGCTCGGGCCAGAGTCGTTCTGCACCCAGTTCTCCGACATCATGGCCATCCCACCAGCGTCGCCACTCGGCGCACAAGCCTTTGACTGGCTCTCGCCGGCCTACTCTAAGATTGCCTTTGACGCGGCCTGGGTCAGGCTCGACGGCGTCCGCGTCTGTCTACTCCTACCAGCCATGGCAGACATTGTCGCCTTTGCCAATGGCTCGCTCTCCGGCTCATCGGCATCCGCCGCTGCCCAGGAGCAGGCTGCGTCGGTGGTAGACGCGCTTGCCGACCTCATTCTCGCCCGTGACGCCCGACTTGACGTCCGCCAGTTTGTCTCGGGCGCCAACTACGACGTGCGGCTCACTTCGTGCGAGCTGCTCGTTGTAGAGACTCCCGAGACCGTCGAGTGTGTTCCTGTAGTTGTTGAGCAAGTTGATGTCAGCCGCCGCGGGCTGGACCTCAACCGCGAGCTGGTCTCAACCGCCTGGCGCGGTGCGGCCATCTCGGCTTTTGTCTACGAGCATGGCGTGCTGCACCGCTCGCCGCTAGCGGCCCCGACCGACGCTGCTGTCGCCTCGCTCCGCTGGCTTGATCCTGCGCTCGAAGCCTGGGTCTCGCAGTGGTCCGTCGTCATGCCCGAGGTCCAGCTCTCGCTCTCGCGTGAGCAGCTGGTCCTCCTTATCAACTCTGCTGAAAACCAAGCGCGTTTCGCACGTGCCTTCCGCAGCGTGTCTCCAACCGGCGGACCTTTGGCGACGTCGCGCGCGCTGCCCGCCCGCTCCCGCCGCTGCCGCAGCAGGCATCGTCGACCTCTCCGCCGCGCCATGTCGGCAACACCCGAAGCGTACACTTGACGCTTGGGGCGCTGGCGCTCACCCTCGCCGATCCGGCCGCAGGCCTCCATGCCCCGCCGCTCACCACGTTTTTGGTCGAGAATCTCCGCCTTGCTCTGGCCGACTCGGTCAGCTCGGTCGACGGGAGCCTCAAGCCGGGGTGGGACTACCAGATGGTGGCAAGTGAGCTTGTCGTCCGTGATGGGACCGGCACAACCGTGCTCATGCCCAAGGATCTCGCACAGGGCTTTGCAGCCTCGCGCATGCCGGCCGGGCGGGAGTCTGACCGGCAGACGCCGCGCAGTGCGTCGTGGCGGACGCCAACCATGAGCCACGCGCCATCCCCACCGTTGGCTGACTCTGCAGCCGGCACAACGCCACGAGTTGGGCTTGCCAATGGCTGGTTTGATGCCGACGAGCTCGACTCGCCTGGCCAGATCGGTGTCTCGTTTCTGGCCTCACCGTCGCCGGGCACGCAATCGCGGCCTTCGATCTTGCCCAGCACTGCCAGTGGCAAGTTGGTCTTGGACTTGTCGGCAGTGATTGGTCAACCGTCGCCACTGCCTCTCGATAGCGACGACGGACTCACGTCAATGACCGACTCGGCCGTGCGCTCGTCAGTATCCGCAGCCACCTCAACCACAGTCTCAAGCTCGAGCTCGAGCTCGAGCTCGAGCTCAGACTTGGACTCAGTCTCATACTCCGACTCGGGCGCTGCAACCGAGCTTGATCTCGAGTCATCGTCATCGTCTTCAGAACTGCCTTGTACACCACTGCCCAGATCGCACGCTTGCAGCTCGGCAGCATCGGGCTCTGTTGCACGCGCGCTAGAGCGTCCCGCGCCCGGGAGCCACGAGACCGACCATGGCGTGGCCCTGCTCGCAACGGTTGTGTCGGTGTATGAGACCAGCTCGCGGGCATCGCAGGCCGAAGCGACCGACTCGATCACCTTTTCCTCGCAGGGCGTGTACGAGTGGTCGACAACGGCAGAGCGACACGTTGCGCGGCGGCGGTGGAACATGGACGTGGCCCCGCTGATCGGCCTTTACGCACCACAGGTGGTGGACGGCATTACCACGTTCTTCTCCGCCCTCGGTGCGCAACAGGCTGTGCGGCGGCGCTACCTTCGGATGCAGCGGTCAATGACGGCAATGCTTGGTCGGGGCACGGTCCTCGACCTTCCGACAGCTCAACGAACGCTGCAAGAGGCGCAGGTGCAGGCGGCAGCCGCTGCAGCGGTCAGCGAGCAGATGGTGGCTGTCGTCGCAGGGCCGTCAAGCGCGGGCGCGTCGAGCGACAGTCTCCCCGCATCGCGTGTCCGCCTCGACTCGGAGCCGTCGGCAGAGCCGAGTCCGTGGGCCGAATTTCGTCGCAACAAGATCCTACTCAAGGCTGTGGTCCGCGACCCGTCGCTGGTCCTGCAGGAGACGTCAGTGGGAAGCCAGACGTCGGTGCTCGAGCTTGCGACTCAGACGATGTTTGTGTCGAACGAGAACAATGCGTGCGCGTACGACCTCTCGGTCAACCAGACCGATGCGTTTGTTGGAGCGGCGCTTGTTCGGCTTGTGACGGCAGATCCAGCGACACTGCGCGTCTCGCAAAACGTGCTAGTCATTCAGCCGTTCTCCACACGGGTCTCGTCTTCGTACAAGGCGCAGGGCCTGCTCGGCACACCATTCATGGCCATCACCGCCGAGGCCGAGCCGATTGTGGCGGAGATTTCTGTCCGCAAGTCGCTGGTGTGCTGGCGGATTGTGGACCGGTACGCAACCGAGCTCGGCGAAGCACGGACGCGGCCGGTGGCCGCCAGCACAGCGATGGCGGACACCAGCAGAGATCGCGACGAACTTTTTGTGCCCAAGGAGATCAAGGTCGGAATCAAGGCGCTGGACGTGAGCGTTGTCTCGGACTACGCCGACCAGGTTGTGCTCTTCTATGTGTACGCCGACGAGGCGTCGGGTATGGCGTCGATTCCGCAGGAGGGCGATGCCGAGTTTGAGGCTGTGGGCCAGCTCGAGGTCATGGTCAACAACGTCAATTTTACCATTCCAGAGACAGTCATCCATCCGTTTGTGATGGGGATCAACGGTCGGGTTCTGCCGTGGACGGTGAACTCAAAGCGGTCGCGCTTCGAAGCTGAGCTTGTGGCACTGACAGCCGTCGAGGTGACCCTCACCAAGGAGATTCTGCGGCAGATGACCGAGTACGTGGCGCTGTTCTCGCGCGAAGAGGCAGCCATGTCAAATGACATGCTCTCACACCTCGAGTACGTGCTGATCAATGAGACTGAGACAGCTGTCACGTTTGGCCAGACGCGGTCCAAGCAGACAGTCCGAGTCGGGCCGTCGAGCTCGACGGTCTTTGCTTTCGCCAACCCGTACTTGCCCAAGGCACTGGACCTCGAGTGGGAGACCGGCTGGCAGACGGCGCATCCGCTGGCACTGGCGTCGGCCGGCTCATCGACGGTGATTCTTCACAAGGGCATCAACACGGCATCGGCGGCACGGTTGGGCTTTGCAGATCCGCTAGTCTCGTCGTTTTCACCGCTTTCGTCGGTGGCGGCATCGTCGTCTTCGCTCTCGTTGACCTCGTCGGCGGCGCAGCTGGCGACATGGCAAGAGGTCCCGCTCACGCGCGGAGTCATAGCCTCTGTCGAAGCGCGGGGACTGAAGAAGATTGTCCGGCTGACATGCGCGCATGCACTGGTCAACGACACGCCATTCCGGGTCACCATCCGGTGCGTGGGAGGGCCTGAAGCTGGGCGAGCGCGGCACGTGGAAGCAGGAGCGTCAGTAGCGATGTGCCACGACGAGAACTGGACCCAGGCCTCGTGGCAGGTCCAGCTCCACGGCGCAGACGCATGGTCGGCGCCATTTGCGTTTGGCAGGCCGGGCTCGGTAACGCCGCTGCGGCTGCCACGAGAAGCCGGCCCATCGGGAAGCCAGCAGGATCTCTCGGTCCTTGTGGTCTTTGGCTTTGGCTCCGGCGGCTCACAGCAAACGGCGTCGCTGGTTCCGCCGCTAGTTATCGCCAATCGGTCGCCGTTCCCACTCGAGTTTACCGTGGGTACAGAGCTGATTGGCTCTGATGAGCTTCCACCTTACGAAACACGGCCCATGTTTGTCGAAGCTACCGGAAGCCTTGCGTTCCGGCTGCTGCCGGGCTACGACGTGTGGTCGGATGGGGTGGCGCTCGAGGTCCCACGAGCGCTTCTTGTGGGCGTTCGGTCGTCGACCCGCGACGTGACGGCGCAGCCCGAGCTCGAGCTGAGTGTTCGGGTCAACCAGCGGTACGCGCGCGGTTGTGGGGCGCGGTCGGTCTTTGTGTTGGTTCCGTATGTGCTGGTCAACCATACCGAGGTGAGCCTTGATGTGAAGCAGCACGGGAGCGATGCAGTGCTGGCACTCGAGCCTGGGAGCAAGATCCCATTTTCGTGGCGTGGAGAGCCGGCGGAAAAGTCGCTGCTGGTCCGCGAGGCCGGCGTGCCCGAGTGGCATGCTGTGGGTGCGCTGACCTCCGAGTCGACCCGCATCCTGAACCTCTCCACACAATGCTCTGTGGTTGAAGAGGTGCGAGTGCTGGACGGCTCGGCGCGGGCAGTGGCCTGGAAGCCAAGGCTGAGAATCATCAACAACCTCGACCGGGTAGTGCGGCTAGACACGGTGCCGCTTGCAGAGGCCAGAGGCTCGCGAGTGACAGTGGGCGCCGGTGAGACGCGTGATGTGGCCAAGTGGACGATGCGGGTCATGGTCGGACTCGGTGAGCCCGGCGATCGACTGCATGCGTTGGACCACTGCCTGCAGCGGCCGATCGAGGTGCTCGATAGCGGTGACGTTTGGGGCTCGGTCCGGATCGGACTCGATGAGGCCGAGTCCAAGGCATCGACGGTCCGGCTAGCGTCCTTGGGCGGCAACGGCCGATTCGAGTACCATACCTTTGAAGTGGTTGTCACTAACATCGGCTTTGTCTCACATGTGGCGCTCAACCCAGCGCGCGAGGCCGCGGAGCAGGTGATCATCAACCGGAGCAAGGAGACGCTCGTGGTGCGGCGGCACGCGCACACGCTCCCACTGGGACCTCGGTCGCCGACAGCTGGCCTCTCACAGGAGCCCGAGGAGCTGGTGGTTCTTGTTCCCGGTGAGATGAAGCCGCTGCATTGGCCGAGCTCGGTCTCGCACCGGCGGATCCAAGTGGCGCGGCTGGGCGAGGGGCGAGTGACGTCGGTGCCATGGGATCCAGTCAGCGAGTTTCGGATTGCTGATCCGCCGACCGGACGGCTGGGCGTGGTAGATGGCCAAATTGTGCGGCTTCTCCTCCCGCTTGACTGGTCGCATCCGTTCGCAGTCCAGGCGCTTGGCGATGGCGAGGTCAACCTCGAAGGTAGCGGAGAGTGGACGTCGTTGGCATCCGAGGCTAGAGGCTACGGCTCAATCCCGGGCACAAGCAGCAGCAACGCGGCGCGGGGCGTCGTGACGCGGACGCGGTCGCGGCGATCTGTCCGAATGAGTCTCAACGCGAGCGATCTCGCGGCGCTGCACGGCGTGGGCGTGGACGCACTCGACGTGGATGCGCTGCTTTTTGGCGGGGAGGGTGAGGCAAGCGGCGAGGCAAGCGACGGCGACGACAGCGAGCCCGAAGGAGAGGCAGGCGCCAACACCGGTGGGCTGCAGCGACTGAGGTACGTGGTACGGATGCGCGGTGTGACCAAGGCCGTGGTCCTGGAGGGAAGCGGCGGCGGCGGCTCTCGTGGCGGCGGCGGTGGTGGCGACGACGACGACCCAGGCTCTGCGCGACTCCGCATCCGTGTGCCTGCTGCTGGAGTCACGCTTGCAGACGAGGCGAGCGGCGGCGAGCTCGTGCACATGTCGCTGGAGGAGGTGCGGTGCGAGGTGCACATGACTGGCGGCAAAGAACACGCGCACTTGACGGTCGGAAACGTGCAGGTGGACAACATGATGCCGCTGGCCGAGTACGACGTGGTGCTTGCGCTGGCGGACTCGCACGCAGGCATCGGGTCGCAGGACGCGTCGATGGTGGAGGCGCTGTTCGAGTGGTCGATTGACGACGGGTTCCGGTCAATCGAGTACTGCGGTCTTCGCCTCCTCCCACTCGTGGCCAAGATCGACGGCGGACTGGTCTCCAAGCTCGTGGAGATGCGGGCGTTCTTTGGCGGCGAAGACAAAGCGCGGAAGACACTCGGGGCGAAGGATCCGAGCGTGCGGCGAGCACGGTACGTGGTGGACGAGAACCCGCTGCCTGTGGGTCTCCAGCGGAGTGAGACTGATGAGATGTACATCGACGCGCTGGTTATTTTCCCAATCTCAATCATGGTGTGTGTGGGAGACAACGACATGGACTGGCCGATCATTCGGGATGGCGCGCCACTGGAGCTTGCGCATTGTCAGCAGATGCAGTGGTTTGTCTCAAGAGCAGAGCTTGTGCCTGCGCTCCGCAAGATGTACTTTGACAACACGCTGGGTCTGGCGGACATGGGGGTGTTTGTGGGTTCGCTCGACGTCATCGGCAACCCGCTGGGTGCGCTGGCGCGGATTCGTGAGGGGTGCACCGACTTTGTGCGGCTGCCGTTTAATGCGCTAGTGATGGACGACACGCCTGGGGCGTTTTTCTTCGGCCTTGCGCGCGGGACATACTCGCTGGTCAAGAACGTGAGCGACGCGGCGCTGATGTCGCTGTACAAAATCACGTCGACGGTGGCCCGAAGCGCAGCACGGCTGACGTTTGATGACCGATACATTGCGGTGAAGCGACGGGCGGCGCGGCGGCATCCACGCAACGTGGTTGTCGGCTTTGGGCTCGGTTCACTCGAGTTTGGGCGCGGGCTGTGGTCTGGGTGCTCGGGACTGGTGCTTCAGCCGTGGTACGGCGCGCAGCGACGCGGGTGGCTGCTGGGCGGAATGCTCGGCACTGGCAAGGGCCTTGTGGGGCTCCCGCTCAAGTCGATCGACGGCACGTTTGACTTGCTCAGCAAGGTCTTTGAAGGCCTCAAGAACTCGACCGGGACCGGACAGTACGTGGTGCAGAAGCGAGTCCACGTCTCGCCGGCCCGGACAGAGGCGCTTCTCAAGGCCGGGCTCTCGGGCTGGTGCGTTGACCACGGATGCGAGTATGTGACGCACTTTGTGGCTAAGATGGAGGCCGGGCCGCACGCCGGCGAGCGGCGGATGATTGACCACGTGCTTGTAGTGTCGATGGACGGCATCCTAGTCTTTGCCCTCGCAGACGTCCTGCACGACTGCGTGCTGGCGGCGTCTGCGCGCAAGTCGATGCGGTCCTGGGGCCACCGGGCGCGGGCGGCGCTGATGCAGGCGCCAGAGCCTGAGGTGCTTGCGACACGGGCAGATGCAACAGGCCAAATGCCGGCGCGGCGGGCCGCCGAAGTCTCGCTCAACATGCTCCGCGGTCTAGTGACGTCTGCGCAGCCACTGAACATCGGGTTTGGTGACGTGTCAGAGATTGTAGTGCCGGACGCGCCGGCCGCAAGGTTCGTGATTGCACTTCGGCGAATGATCGGTGGCCGCGACAGGCTGGTGTGCGTTGTCGGTGATCGCGAGGATAAGCTTGCAGAGATCGGCGCAGTGTACCGTGCGTCAACGGGCGAGTTTCTTCAAGTTGTCCGCCCGCGAGACAGCGCCCAGCGGTAGCAGCGGCAAAGCAACCGCACGCACGCTCGCCCCGCCTATCTACATAAACCCGATGAAGTACAGCAAAGGCAGAGGTCTGTCTCAGCTGGCGGAGAAGTCTGGCGGCGAGCTTGCAACGATGGACCTTTTTTTGAGTGACGGGCGGTGAGGCAGCGCGCATGCAGCCATCAGACACGGGGCGAGTGCGGGCCGGGACATTGTGGTGGCGGTGGGGAGGGGCGAGGGGGTGAGAGCCAGAGAGCACACTTGTCGTTCCCAGACAGCGAGAGAGAAAGAGGGAGAGAGAAAGCACAAGCGGTGAACAGGACGTGTGCTTTACAAGCAAGGCAGGACCGAGGACAGCAGGCCGGAGAGCAAAGGCCAAGCCGCCAGTGTTCGGCAAGGCGACAGCACGGCTGGCAAAGTGGCATAGGCAGAGACAGAGACAGCGACAACGACGGCGACGGTGACGGTGACGGCGACAGCATGGCAACTGCGTCGATGCTGGTAGGCGGGGCGTCTGCGCCGCAGCATGGAACCATTGACGTCTCCCTGCTGCTGCCGTACCTGGCCGCTGTCCTCGGGGTGGAGGCGTGGCAGGCGGCGGCGGCGGCGGGCAAGGCGACGACCGGCGCCGACACTGGCAGCGAGACCGGGGCCGGAGAAGACGGTAGCGATGTTGGTGAGGCGCGGGCGGTGGCGGTGGCAATGGCTGCGAGTGCGACAGCCGGTGGCGCCGACGAGTGCAGCAGTGAGGCGGCCCGGGGCGCCGGCGGCGGGCCGGAACGGGTGTACCTGGTTCCGGTGCCGACGGTGCCGGGCGACGGTCTGGCGGTGCACCGCAAGTGGCAGCTGGATCTGGAGGGCGAGCTGTCGGCGTTTACGGCAATGCCGCGGGTGGCGTACCTTGTGGAGCGTGAGTGGCTGCTGTGGCAGCTGGAGCGGACCAAGGAGAAGCGGCGGCGGCTGCTGCGGCAGCGGGCGTCGCGCGAGGTGCAGACGGCGCGGCAGGCGGAGCGGCGGGCGCAGGTTCTTGCGCGTGGGTCACGGGTGCCGGCGCCGAGCCTAGTCACGGTGGCGTCGCTGTCGGTGGCGCGGTCGCGGGAGCGGCGGCTGCAGATGCTGCGGCTGGATCGGCAGACCCCGCGCGGAGCGGCGAGCCGGCGGGCGCGGGCAATCGGCGAGTCTAGCTCGGCGCAAGCTGCACAAGAGCAGCGGATTCGCATCCTGCAATCGCAGATCCGGCAAGTCGAGGCGCAGGCTGCGATGCGACAGGTGCAGTCGAAGCTGCTGGAGATCAAGATCCGGCAGGTAGAGCTGATGGTTCTTGTGCGGCAGGCGCAGCAGGTGGCAACACTCCGCGGACGCGAAGGCGAGCTCATCTCACGCAAAACTGCCCTCGAGGCCAAAATCGCGTTGCTGCAAGAGCACATCGCCGAGCAGCAGGCGGCAGCGAGCGCACTGGCGGCGGCGGGCGCAGGCGCCGGTGGCGAGGCATTTACTTCGGCGGCGGATGAGCACTCGCCGACCAGTGACGCGACACCGCTGCCAGCGGCTGGGGCACGGCGCGACCGGACGCCGCCGTCAATTGCCGCGGCGGCCGCAGCCGCGGCTGCATCGCCGCGGTCAGAGCGCGATTCGCCGCCGGTGTCGCCGCGGCGCGAGACACCGCCGGCATCGCCGCGGCGCGATTAACGCGTTGTACCCTTGCAATGAATCACAATCATGTCTTGTTAGGCGTCCACTTGCCCGGCTGAAAGTCATCGCCTGTACCAGAGGCACCGGTGGGTGGGAGCGGGGCGTCCGAGTCGACGCGGCGCATGGCCTCACCGGCCATCTTTGGGTCAGCAGCGCCATCAGCGGCAGTAGCAGCCGCTGCAGCAGGGCGCGGCATGCCTGCGACGGCGTGCTCGGAGCCAAACTCTGCGATGGTCTCGAGCGCTTCACGGGCCTCACGCTCCTGGACCTCCTTGATGCGCTTGCGCATAGTGGCACGGGCCTCCTCCCGGGCGGCGATCTCGTCCGGGGTGGGCGCCGGGCGGTTGCCGCGGAGCCACATCTGCCACATGGGGTCGACCTGGGTCGGGTCTGGGTTGTCGGCCTCGGCAAACTCGACATACCGCCGCCCATCGGCTTCGAGGAAGACATTGCCCGCGGCGTCGCGGCCGACGGTGGTGGGCCCTGCAACGCCGACCCGGGCCCGGATGGCGGCGGTAGCACGGGCGAGGAAAGACGACATGGTAGAGAGAGGTGGCGAGGGTGTGAGTGGGGTGGGGGGGGGGGGGGGGGGGGGGGGATGGTGTGGTGTGGTGGTGGTCGTCGACGA